CTCGTCCTCCCTGGACTGACCTATCCCCTTCCTAACTCCCTACCTACACTCACCTTTACTGGCTCCATCCCCGCCTCTTCGACCTGTTTGTTTCCTCTCCACCTATCCTCTCCTCTATCCCTCTTCTATCCGCCTCCCACTCTCTCCCTATTTATTTCAAAACCCCCTTCCCCTCCCCCTTTTCTGATGAAGGGTCTCGGCCCGAAACGTTGGCCTCTCTGCTCCTATGATGCTGCTTGGCCTGCTGTGTTCATCCAGCCCTGCACCTTGTTATCCCACAGTATTTGTTTGAATTCCTAACAAAGTTTGTGCAACCGGGTTGTTCCTGTCAAATAATCTTATTCCTCACTCCTCTTCCAACAGCACTGGGAATTTCTTTGCCTCTTCACTGATTTGGTAACATAATGGTGTAAGTTCCTGCCAACATTAGGAATGTCACTGTAACAGAATCGACATATCACATGACAATGTTCGGTAACAATTCCACTATTGCAGGCTGCTCTATTGTTGAAATCAGTTGTTCTTTGCAACCAAGCAAACCCAGTGTAGAATTGGACCTGGGCCCTCGAAATTCGGTTTGCAGTTGGAATTTCACTGTTTGCATGTAATCAAAGTTTCTCTGGGCTAGAGGGATGCAAAAACATTGGCTATTACTGCATGATGAAACTGAGGTTTCAGGTCATTCAAAGCAGTCTCAAGGCTCCTGACATTTCCTGTTGGCTCTTCCTCCAGGTTTCTGGGATCATGATGTAACAACGAACAGGGCTCCTGCTTATTCCATGGCCAAGCGCCATCCAGGTCTGAAAGATAGCGGTACACCTGCACCAAGAACGCTACCAGAAAAGATGACTCACCATGGGAAGGAGAGTGTTCCTGCCTGGACAATGGCTCACCGACACAAGGACTATGACCCTGGTAGAACTCCAGGACCAGGTCAGTGCTGAATGGCCAAGGAGTATGCAATAACAAAATAAAGAGAAAAAGGGGAATTAGCAAACTAACAAGTGTGTCATCAGTCCAATTCACACACCCAATTTAGTTCGTCCTATAGCTGCTTTGAAGATCTAAGCAATGAAATTACACCCAAGCATAATTGCGTCTCTAACCCTCCCTCCCATTTAAGATGCTCCTTAAAATCTATCTTTTTGAATAATCCTGTCATTATATCTCCTTATATGGCCTGGCCTCAAATTTGGTTTGATAATAGCTCCTGTGGAACAACCGTGGATAATTTATCATGTTAAAGGTGCTCGATAAATTGTTCATATTTATTGTTGGATATTTCTGATTTTGAAGTAACAAAATGGTGACTGCTGTGGGCTGTCCTGCTAATGAATTGTCATGAGTCAAACTTTTATGTGTCTTAGATATTGCAGTTTGTAGCTTTCTTCCCTCAGATATTCAAGCCATTCTCCTTAACATGAACATTTAAGCTATGCTGCTTCAGTATAATGACAAATTCAGTATTGAATGTAACGTCTTTCAGCTAAAATGTGAAACTCAGGGCTCCTTCTGCATGCTCATAAGGAGATACTAAAGATCGAATGAAAATATCCAAATGAAGCAGAAATTTTGACAAAAGTGTGATCACTAGTCCCACTGCTGTTTGCATGATCTTGCTTTGCGCAAAGTAATACCTCCATTTGCTGGAGAATCTGCATAGCTTTCATTTTCATCCAATTGGTATGAGTATGGGTTCCCTGAATGAAAAGGTGTCCTCACTGAAAGGCAGGGTTGTATTCCTGAAAATCACAACATTAAATAAAGCGTGGTTTTTCAAAGGAATGATTGCTAAAACAGAGTTAGTTTCCTCCGCACAATTTCTGCCTGGAAAAGCTAACATAAGAATTGAAATACTGTGTTATACATGTCATTACACCTGTTGTATTTTATACATGTGCTGCACTACGCATTCCTAGCTAAAATAATTTGCAAAACAAAACAATTAAAGCTTCTGAGGAAGGGTCACTAAAAATAAAAGCAGGCCAGGCAACCATATGGCATGGATCTGTGGAAAATGTCCCATTTGAGGATAATGGACAAGAGAGGACGCATCAGTGAGATTGTTGTTACTTCCTCAAAAAACTCAATCAGGTTTATGAGATACAATTTCCCATACACAAAGCCATGCTGTCTATCCCTAATCAGTCCTTGCCTTTCCAAATACTGGTAAATCCTGTCTCTCAGAATCCCCTCTAACAACTTACCCATCACTGACATCAGACACACCGGTCTATAGTTCCCTGGCTTTACCTTGCAGCCTTTCTTGAATGAAGCCACATTAGTCACCCTCCAGTCTTCCAGCAGCTCACCCATGGCTGTAGATCACACAAATATCTCTGCTAGGGGCCCCGCAATTTCTTACTTAGCTTCCCACAATGTCCTGGGATACACTTGATCAAGTTCCAGGGATTTATCTACCTTTATGCATTTTAAAACCTGCAGCCCCACCTTTTCTGTAATATGAACTCGTTATAAGACGTCATTATTTATTTCTCCAAGTTCCTTAACTTCAATGTCCTTCTCAACAGTAAATACTGACACAAAATATTTATTTAATATCTCACCCATCTTCTGCCGTTCCACACATAGATGGCCTTGTTGATTTTTAAGGGGCCCTATTCTCTCTCTAGTTGCTATTTTGCCTTAATTTACTTGTAGAATCTCTCTGGATTCTCCTTAATCTTATCTGTCAAAGCTATCTCACGTCCCCTTTTTGCCCTCCTGATTTCCCTCTTAAGTGTACTCCTACTGCTGTTATACTCCTCAAGGGATTCACTTGATCCAGTTGCCAGTACCTAACATATGCCTCCTTCTTTTTCTTGACTACAGCCTCAATATTTCTCGTCATCCAGTGTTCTCTACTCCTGCCAAATCCGCCCTTCACACTAACAGGAACACACAGTCTCTGAACTCTCATTGTGTCACTCCTGAAAGCCACCCACTTGCCAGACATCCCTTTACCTGCGAACAGCCTGCGCCGAACAACTTTTGAAACTTCTGTCCAATACCATCTAAATGGGCTTTGCTCCAATTTACAACTTTAACTTTTACACAAGGCCCATCCTTTTCCATAACTATTTTAAAACTAAAAGCAGTATGGTCACAGCTCCCAAAGTGCTAACAGTTTTCATTCAAAATATTAATGCTTTAATTTTAAAAATCAAGTACAACATTAATTTTGCAGCATTACATTAGAACAAAGTAATTCAATTTGCAGACAATCAGGAACATATCCTTGATACATTGCAAATTAGTTTTCATACACTCCACATGATCACTGGCCCCCAGATATGCAGCCCCCTTCCAGCCCCCCAGCCCAAGGTCTACAGCTTCCCCCCACTGTCTGACGTGTGCACCACCTCCCCCCGACTCAGCCCCAGATATCAGCTACCTCCCAGTAACCCAGTGTCCCCCACCACACTAGTCTGCAGCTCTCCCCCACCCCATCCCAGCCTACTCTTTTACATCTGCACTTCCTTTCCTTCTCAGAAGAAAAAAGTATAGATTGATGGATCTGCTCACAATTGTCAGCCATTCCTGCTGCCTGTCTCACAATTGCTATCCTCTAGTCTTCAATAAATGTTCTAATTTATAAAGGTAGTGAGTTTTTTACATCTTCTAAGAGAATAATCTCTCTGAGCTTTATATGAAGTATTTACTCCTAATGCTTGTACTCCTAATGCCTCTCCCTTTTCAATTCAATGTAGTGTTGACAAGGCTCTCTCCTTAATTTGCAAAACATTTCCCAAAACATGCATCAAACCAAACTCATATAGGCCTAGAATAGCCATTTTTACAGTGCCTTTTATGCTAGTGTTCTTTTTCTTTGGTATTTCTCATTCACTTACCTCTCCAATTGAATTTTTCAAATCTCTATCTGTCCCCTCTCTCTTTCGTCTCAATTCCAATGTCCTTCCTTTTATCTGCTTCATTTCTTTTATGGTCAAACTGCTTTAACTACCTCCAATGACTCATTTTTAGGAGTGTCTGTTTTGATTTGTATTTCCATCAATCTTAACTGTTGTGATATTATTTGAAGTGCCTCAGTGTTTACACTAAAGTGAAACTTTAAATTCTTTGCCAGTTTAACTCAACTGCATTGCTCTCAAACACAGAAATTCAGTTGAGCAATCGCTCAATTGCACTTAGGTCAGCAGGTCTGGCAGGGAAAGAAAAAATCAAGAGTTAACGTTTCGGGTCCGGTGACCCTTCCTCGGAACAGACCCTTCTGAGGAAGGGTCATCGGACCCGAAACATTAACTCTGACTTTTTTCTTCACAGAATCTGCCAGACCTGCTGAGCTTTTCCAGCAACTACTGTTTTTGTTCCTGATTTACAGCATCTGCGGTTCTTTTGGTTTTTAGTTGCACTTAGGTATTGGCTTGAATTCGTAGTTCTGCTTGGAAAATTCTTGAGGGCACCTCTGGAAGTAGTTGGGATTCAAATTTAGGTCCACCTCACTAATAGGTAAGGATACCACCACTGTACCACAAAAGCACCTCCTCTCAGCTCTGTGATAACCTGCCGCTTGCAACCAATCCACAAGCTGTGCTCGGCAGTTACTTTTTTTCTCAAAGACAGCCAGTGCCAATGTTTCTCAAACAATTATCAAATCTAGTTTCAGCCAAAAGAAACCACTCTGCCTCGATCAGCTGGTGCATTCTGCCCAGTTCCAGGCACCACACTTTAGGGAAAGGTGTCAAGGCTTTGGAGAGAACAACATTGATGGGGTGACTGTAGTGAGGGCTGCAATTTTCTGCTCTCTCCTCTGGTGAGTTTCTCCCCTGAGGTGGGCTGAATCAGGTTGTAAGCCTGGTGGGTGGAGCCGCTGTCACCTTCCCACCTCCGTCTGAGTTAATTCAGTGGTGAGGAAGCCCAAGACCAGTTTCCCACTCCAATTAGTGTTCACATAAGGGTTTCATCCTATCTGCTGGTTGTGACCTGTGCTGGATTTCTTGGAGCTACCAGGAAGATGGTGGGAGACAATTAACCCCCCAGTCCATTACTGCCCCTCCTCCCCTCCATTTCTCCAAATTGGGAAAGACTTGTCTGGTCTGGGACTAATCGAGATGAGCTGCCAAGGCCTTTCCTTTCTCTGCAAGGCACCTACACTCCTACAGGGATGAATCTTGGGTCTGACTCATAACCACATTCCTTCTTCTGAGGAAGGAGGTGATGGTGGGGTGGGGAGAGGAGGGCAATGGGGGAAAGATCACAACAAATAATAATCCACAGCAGCAGTGAGGGGCACATTGGATGCTTGTGTGAGCTGATGTTTGAGATTAATCAGGGTCAACCTAGTACAGGATAAGTCAGTGCAACTCCAAACTAAGAGACAAGGGGAGGCTATTCAGCCCCTTAAGCCTATTCTTCTGGATCAAGGTTGGTCTGTATCGTAGTTCTGTTTACTTGTTTTTTGCTTCACACTTCTTGAAGTTTTAGTCAAATGTATGTACTGAAGTCCTGAGGTGGGGCTTGAATTTAATAACCTTCTGTCTCAGGGTGAAGATGTATCACCAAGTAATCATTGACAGCGTGACAAGTGATAGGAATAGAATTCAGCTTCATTGACAGTGGTAGCCCTGTTCTACATTTTTAGTGATCAACAATCTAGTCGATCAACAATATCTTGCTTTCCAATAGGATCATAGCTGATCTAAATGTAAGTTCCTTTTTCTTGAATTAACTCCATGTCCCTTGCCATTCTGACCCAACAAAAACCTATCTATCTCAGTCTATTTCTAATCCACAGCCTTTTTGGGTCAAGAAGTTGAGTTTTCAATACTCTTTGCGTTCTTGTTGTTTTCATTTCTAAACATTCTAGCTCTAATGCTATAATTCCCCCAACAGAGAAGATAGTACCTTTGTATCTTGTCTATCAAATACCTTTATCAATTTAATTCAATTAGATAGCCACGCAACCAACTCAGGGGGATTCAGCTAACTAAACTCTTGTAGCCCAGTGGTAGAAACCCTGTTGCTAAGTAAGGACACCTAGTTTCAAGTCCTACCTGCTCCAAAAGTGTGTCATAATGTGTCTAAGCAGATTGGAAACATAAATAATGTTGCAATATTTGCTGTCGTAAGAAATATGTGATTGTAAATTTCATAAACTTTACTGTAAGAAGCCACATCTTTGACAGACAGGTAGAAATAACCTGTTTCTCTTGTATTACCAACAGAGATTAATTTACCTTTAGTGTAACTTTAAGAAGTTAATAAGGAACACTCTCTTTATTTTTGCAAAGTAATTAAAATTATTGTCTTTGACTGGGTTTCTTGAAAGCTGCTTTGCGAATTTGTTCCATCCGCTGCAATGCGATGTATGAGCAATAGCACAAAGGTCTGCCTGTCTGTCACATAAACATCCTGAGCTGGGTTTTTAGGTCGCCATCTAGGTAAGATTGGAAAGGGAGCCTGTGATTAAAATCGTGGTGCCAGCCTGCATTTGGAGTTCTTGCATTGACCCCAGCATTAGCAAAGTTCATTATCGGGCAGGGGAGGCTAATGCCAATGAATCCAATTAAGATTTTTCAATTATTCATAGAGAACGTGTCAAGAGAGATAACAAGGTGTAGAGCTGGATGAACACAGCAGGCCAAGCAGCATCAGAGGAGCAGGAAAGCTGACGTTTTGGGCCTAGAGCCTTCATCAGAAATGGGGGAGGGGAAGGGGGTTTTGAAATAAATAGGGAGAAAGGGGGAGGCAGATAGAAGATGGATAGAGGAGAAGATAGGTGGAGAGGAGACAGACAGGTCAAAGAGGCGGGGATGGAGCCAGTAATTATGAGTGTAGGTGGGGAGGTAGGGAGGAGATAGGTCAGTCCAGGGAGGACGGACAGGTCCAGGGGGCGGGATGAGGTTAGTAGGTAGGAGGTGGGGGTGCGGCTTCAGGTGGGAGGAGGGGATAGGTGGGAGGAAGAACAGGTTAGGGAGGCGGGGACGAGCTGGGCTGGTTTTGGGATGCGGTAGGGGGAGGGGAGATTTTGAAGCTTGTGAAATCCACATTGATACCGTTGGGCTGCAGGGTTCCCAAGCGGAATATGAGTTGCTGTTCCTGCAAGCTTCGGGTGGCATCATTGTGGCACTGCAGGAGGCCCAGGATGGACATGTCGTCTAAGGAATGGGAGGGGGAGTTGAAATGGTTTGCGACTGGGAGGTGCAGTTGTTTGTTGCGAACCGAGCGTAGGTGTTCTGCAAAGCGGTTCCCGAGTCTCCGCTTGGTTTCCCTGATGTAGAGGAGGCCACATCTGGAATAGCGGATACAGTATACCACATTAGCAGATGTGCAGGTGAACATCTGCTTGATGTGGAAAGTCTCCTTGGGGCCTGGGATGGGGGTGAAGGGGGAGGGGAAGGGGCAGGTGTAGCACTTCCTGCGGTTGCAGGGAAAAGTGCCGGGTGAGGTGGGGCTGGAAGGGAGTGTGGAGCGGACAAGGGAGTCACGGAGAGAGTGGTCCCTCCGGAAAGCAGATAAGGGTGGGAGGGAAAAATGTCTTTGTTGGTGGGGTCGGATTGCAGATGGCGGAAGTGTCGGAGGATGATGCATTGGATCTGGAGATTGGTGGGGTGGTACGTGAGGATGAGGGGGATTCTGTTTTGGTTGTTATTGCGGGGAGGGGGTGTGAGGGATGAGTTGCTGGAAATGCTGGAGACACGGTTGAGGGCGTTCTCGACCCTGAGAGGGGTAAGTTGCGGTCTTTGAAAAACGAGGACATCTGAGATTTTCGGGAGTGGAATGCCTCATCCTGGGAGCAGATGCGGCGGAGGCGAAGGAATTGGGAATAGGGGATGGCATTTTTGCAGGAAGGTGGGTGGGAGGAGGTGTATTCTAGGTAGCTGTGGGAGTTGGTAGGCTTGAAATAGATATCGGTTTCCAGGTGGTTGCCGGAGATGGAAACAGAGAGGTCCAGGAAGGACAGAGAGGTATCAGAGATGGTCCAGGTGAACTTAAGGTTGGGGTGAAAGGTGTTGGTGAAGTGGATGAATTGTTCGAGATCCACGTGGGAGCACGAGGCGGCACCGATACAGGCATCAATGTAACAGAGGAAGAGGTGGGGTTTAGGGCCAGTGTAGCTACGGAAGAGGGATTGTTCCACGTAACCTACAAAGAGGCAGGCATAGCTTGGGCCCATGCAGGTACCCATGGCCACCCCCTTTGTCTGTAGGAAATGGGAGGAATTGAAAGAGAAGTTGTTGAGGGTGAGGACAAGTTCAGCTAAGTGGATGAGGGTGTCCCTACTATCTCTGTGTCAAGACAGATGTTGAGATTGTACTGGAGGTGAATGGGCTGCATGCTGGATGACAGGCAGAACAGGAGCCTGAAGGTAGAAACACAGAGGGAAGCCACCACAACAATTTCATTGGATATTTAAAAGGACAAACTACTCGGGGGTATGGGGGACTCAATCATTGGCTCATGAGTGACTTCAGGTGTGCACTTGGGAAGAGTGGTCACTAAGCACTCAGGTAGTGTTATCACTCTCCTATGATTGTGGGGCTGTAAGAGGTGGGCACAAGGCTTCTAGATGCCACTGGGAGGCTAACAGAACAGAAGGAATCATAGAATCCCTACAGCGTGGAAACAGGCCATTCGGCCCAACATGTCCACACTGACCCTTGGAGCATCCCACCCAGACCCATCCCCCATAACCCATCTAATCTACACATCCCTGAACACTATGCGCAATTTAGCATGGCCAATCCACCTAGCCTGCACATTTTTGGACTGTGGGAGGAAACCGGAGCACCCGGAGGAAACCCACGCAGACACGAGGAGAACGTGCAAACTCTGCACAGTCACCCGAGGGTGGAATTGAACCCGGGTCCCTGGCACTGTGAGGCAACAGTGCTAACCACTGAGCCACCATGCCGAAGGAAGGCAGCAACAAGCGAAAAGAACACTAATGTCAGATTTTGGGAATTTAAGCACAGTCAATTTGAAATCTATAAATATAAAGCAGGATCAATAAAACATTGCTTGTGAACCAGGCTATGATAATGATTGAAATGGTTCATTCATGAAAACGGCACAATTTAAGCCTGAGTTGAGGAGGACTTTCTTCTTTCAAAGGATAGAGAGTCTTTGGGAACTCCTTGTCACAGACAGCTGTGAGGGCAGAGTCCTTATGTTTATTTAAGGCTCAGGTAGATAGATTCTTGATCAGTCGGCGAATTAAGGGTTACAGGGAAAGGGCAGAAAGTGGATGTGAGGAATATCAGATCAGCCATGTTCCTATTAAATGGTGCAGCAGGATCAAGGGATTGAATGGCCTACTCCTGTTCATATTTCTTATGGTCTTCTAATCTTACTAGAATTAGAATTAGTTTTATTGTCACATGTACTCAAGTGAGTATTGTGAAAAGTGTACAAGTTGCCACTTATGGCACTATCTTACGTACAAAGGTCCCTAGGTACAGCTTCTTCCGTTACAGTTCTTAGAAAAATAGAGAAGTTAAAAGGTCCAGCATTGCAGATGATGGACTATAGGGAAGGAACCCCAAAATATTTGCTTGGGCTGGTTTATATTTAACAAGTCTCATAGAATCATAGAATCTCTACAGTGTGGAAGCAGGCCACTCGGCCCACTGAATCCACACCCACGCTCTGGGAAGCATTCCACCCAAACCCCCCCCATTTACACTATCCCTGTAACCCTGCAACCCTGCATTTCCCATGGCTAATCCACCTAGGCTGCACATCCCTGGATACTATGGGAAACTTAGCACGGTCAGTCCACCTAGCTTGCACATCTTTGGACTGTGGGAGGAAACCAGAGCACCCAGAGGAAACTCACACAGACACAGGGAGAATGTGCAAACTCCGCACAGACAGTCACCCAACTCTGGAATTGAACCTGGGTCTCTGGGACTGTGAGGCTACAGTGCTAAGCACTGAACCACTGTGCTGCCCAATATATGTATGTGGTTGACTGTTAACTGCCCTTTGAAGAACATTCGCATGCCTCCATAGGGTATGGCCAATAAATACTAGCCTTACTAGCAATGCCCAAACAACCAGAATAATTAACTTGTAGAAACTTACCACTAACTGACATCAAGGCTTTACAAAGAGCTGTTGTCCCCAAATCAGCCTGTTTGGAACACTTCCAGTATATACTTGTAAAGAGAAGGGAGGTCACAGCTGTATGTTTTTGAGGAACTGTGCACCAAACTATCTTTGCACAATGCAATGACAAATCATTAAACAGCAGAGACATGAGTACTGTCTTTGATCGAGAGGGATTAACTGGCAAGAATTTTTCATGTGTACTGCCCTAAAGGATGATGGAATCTCATCTAAATGTTGCAACATTGCTCACAAAATTCGCTTTGTTTTTGTAAAACAAAGATCTGTGGACACCGGAAATCTGAAACATAAACAGAAAACACTGGAGAAATTCAGAATCTGTGGAGAGAAAAACAGAATCAGTGTTTGGTGTCCAGAACTGAAAACAGCTGGGGATCGGTGGCATTTATGATAATGATGACAGGGGTGTGGGATGGGAGGGGGGGGGAGAGAGAGAGAGAGAGAAAAGGAGGAAGCAGATAAAGGGATCGCTGATAGTAAATCAGGGAAGAAGTAAATGCTGAATAGGTGATAATGAGAATGGTGAATCGGTGATAATGGGTTGGCTGTGCTGGGGCCAACCCATACAAAGCAGGAGCTAATAGTGTTGGGGTAGGTCACAAACACGCATGGAGGTGTTCACGCTCCAAAAAATTTAAATTTCTGCCTAGGTACTCCCTCAGGAGGGCTTACAGCTCAACACTGAGTTCAGCCATGATGATAATGAATGACTGAGCAGGTTCAAAGGCTCGAATGGCCTACTCCTGCTTTTATTTTCTATGTTACTATGACCTGTGCCAAATTGTTTAGGTGACAAGTGAAAAACTCTTACTCAAACTCAAGAGTTTCAATTAGTGGCTGTGTTTTCAACTGCCTAGTCCTAAACTCTGGAATTCTGTTCTAATACTCTCTATAAAATTCTGCTACCCTTGGACAAAGCAAGTTGTCACCTGACCGAATATTACTTTATGTGGCGTCAAGACCGTTTTTGTTTAAACACACACCTGCGAAGCAGCTTGGGACATGTTACCAAGTTAGAGGTGCTATATACATACAAGTTCTTTCAATCAGATGCAGAAGTTGTTCACCGAACTTTCATTTTCCCATTTTTCCGATTAGCAAACTACAAGGTACACGAGGCAGATCAATTAGTTCACCGCAATGTACCTGCATATTCCATTGCACTGCGAACGGTCGGATTTAAACTGAACGAAGGCCCAGGTACAGTAACTGATGTTCTGAATATTTTCCATTATCTTTAATGTTCGACACAAGTTATCACACTCTTGTATTTCTGCATTCTGGGTGTTCACTACCAACATTGAAGAAGCCCAGAATTCCGAAGTGTGATTGGCTCAGAAGTTGATACGATAATACAGAAATTGTTTTTGACAAACTCCCAAGGCATAGGCAAATAAAGATTAAAAACTAACAAACCAAAAAGTCAACAATATTTTAAATATTTAGACAAGGTTGTCCTTATAGATGTCTCTAAACAACACATGACAAGTAACTCATCTTCATCTTTGTCTTGTTTAAATAGAGTCCTGTGTTTTGGACCTAGGGCAAGGCTTCCCAGAGTTGGGGGTCAGCAGCTAAAATTTTGGTGTTGTGAGCTCTGAAACAGGAAAGGGCAACATTGAGCACCAACCAAGTTACAACAGCCATGTGCCTGCTCTCACCAGCCCTCTCACAATTCCACTGAAGGATCATGATTATATTCAAGGCTTGAAATGGGGTGACTTTGGGAAACTCAGGTTTAGGGCTTCCCGACACCCAGACTCCATGCCAAAATCAGTTACCCTCAGTTCCTCACATCCTTTCACCCACACTCACTCCCTGGTCACCCACACTCACTCCCAACACCGCACT